TTAAAGCAAATTTTAGCAAAATCAATAAAAGTTCAAACATTTGACCTTTAATATGAAGATTATTAATGAGAGAAGTTCAAGTTCACTATGGTCAACGAGTTTGTCCAAAGGGTTGTTGTGTCCAAGTATTCAGGCACTCATTTGGAAATACGTACATAATCACCAAAGTAAATGTTTCGAACAGCAACGACAACGTAACCGACAACATGACTGCAGGAATAGCTCTTTGTTTCTTTGAAAACGTCGATCCAATTAGCACATTAAACAATATTGCCATACAAAAGAAGGGACACCCAACAAAATAGCATTTTAAGTCTTGCTACACGATAACTGATGCTTTTTGTTTATTTAAGAAGATTCATTTTGGCACATGAAAGTCGAGTTAAACTTGGCAATAGACAGGACTGGTTTTAAGAAAATATGAATGCTAGAGGCATTTTATAGTACAAGTAATATCTTGAGTGCTTTAACCTAATACGGGTATGCTGAAGACGATGAGGGTGGATACCAAGAAAATAAAATTGACCTTGACCTTCAAATGGCCGCTTAAAAATACTAAAATAGGTCATTAAAACTATGATACAATATGATGCAATTAATTATTCTTGTCAAAATCAAATGATTATTCCATATTCTCTAAGTTTATACAATTATTAAATTAATTAATAACAAATTTCTAGTACTTTATATGGTTAACACGTAAAAATCACCCAAAAACAAGGTCATAAATGTCATATACATGTATATCTTTTTTTTGCAAAGCATAATGATTATTATCATGTAAGGTAAAACTACATTTCGTTATTTAACTAATATCATATTTAAGAATTTACTGAATAAATTTGATACTGAAGCTTTGAAAGAACTGTACTGGGTTATGCAATAAAGCTCTCAATATTCTTTTATATGTATATATTACATCACACTCATGAATGAGTACCCATTCGTTATATGTACACATGCCAGTATTTGTCACAGTCTGAAACATTGGTTTGGATAAGTCGTTTAGTCTTTCAATATGTTTTTTTCTTGATTTTTGTTTACTGCTCAAGAATGCGATAAAGGCTTGTCGGTCTTAAAAATAAAAACGATTAAAGGGCAGATTGAAATAAATTCTATTATTAGCATTTCGAAAAACGCTAGAAATTGCCATTCAGCCGGGTTTTCGAAAATTACAAATCGTGAGAAAAACCCATTCCTTAACAAAAGAGCTTATGTTTCTTCTCTTAATAGAAATATTCCATATATTGTTTACCCAGTAGAAAGAGGCCAACACACTGGATTCAAGGTTTGCATATGAAGCTAGAAGTATAATTTTTATAAAGATGACACGACAAAAACATAGCGGATGGCGTGCACAGTAGGGGTCAATTTTTGAGGTTTTTTGTCTTTCAATTTGTTATCATGTGGCATTAAAGTATGCATTTTGAATGGCTTACATGGAGAAATGGTTGAATCTTGTTAATTGTATATGTCGCAATCCAGGAACAGCAACAATAACAAAACATCTAGTTAAGGTAATGTAAACCAGTGACTTGTAAGAAAAATAGGATTGACTGTGTTGGAGAATACTTAGGAGACATTCTTTCTTTTTTAGGGTTTTTATGGATTCCACTCCAAAATAACAAGGCTATGAGCGTATCATGCCATGATCTCATTTGACTTTGAACCTAGTTTGGTCAAGGCTATCTAGAAATTCAATAGCAAACGCAACTGTAACGCTTTCATTTTCAAATCCCACAAGAATCAGCTAAAACGCAATGAATGGTGAATATTTAAAGTTTTTGGCAAACAGGTTATATGCTTGAGCTGCGAAAGTTGTTAGCATTTATAAGCGTGGCTTCATTTAAAACAAGTCTATTAGGACAAGTTAATCTATTACGGGTGGCTTAAAATTAACATAAGTGATCACAACACAATCAATGAAGCCATCTCATCGGTCATATGTTTTGGGGGTAAATGCAGAAAATGTATGGTGGTTAGGGAGTAGTGATGGGGTAGTGGTGGTAAGAACTGATAAGCAATCATACGGTCATACCAGTTTTCTGATCTTTTATATGGGAGGCTAGCTCTCAGATTAAATAATGTTGCCGTTGATGCTGAGTGTCTTGGGGACTTAGGTTTAGCGATAGTGGTGGTTATGGTACCTATAGGAAAGGCTATGTCCCAGTGAATAATGGTGGGGGAAGAGAAGTTTAAGACTCTGACCATTTTGTAATGTTGGGAGTACGGATAACTGCAAGAAAAGCGCTACCTGAATTATATATTAAGTATATCCAGTGATTTAGTGGATCGTAACATTTAGAAACAAATAACTCAAATTTTACACCTCTTATGGGTTGTAGTAGCCATAATCAGACCTTGGGCAAATTACTTTAAAAAGTAAGTGATTAAGACACAATTATTTCTTATTCTTTTACAACAGTTACAATGAATTACTTTTCTCCAGGGATTGACAGAATAATATTTTTTTTCATGGGTAATTATGATAACTTCTGATTACTTTTTATTGTCTCATTTTAAAAATGCAAAGACTTAGCTATTTTGGGTTTTATTAACAAATTTAGAAAATGTAACAAAACCTATGCAAATATGAAATATTTAGATGAGTATTCAAATATTTTTGTTTGTAATAAATGAATGTATCACATAAGTGTGATAATACAAAGCAAACTTTTTTTATTTGAATTCGGTACGTATGTACATACAATTTCATATAGCAGTAGTAATGTGTTGAAGGGTTACAATTACAAAACTCTTGGGCAATTTTAGCCTGGATATGCATGTTGTAGTTTATCTGTTTGGCTGACATCACAGAAGAACACTGTCGTAACCTACTTTGTGCAAGCTTTAAGTACAAGTTACTGTTATTTAAAAAAAAGAAAGCCAAAACGTTTGCATAATATAATGACTTTTTTTAAATGTTTATTATTCATAAATTGTCTGGTATAGGGTTTCTGTGAAGAAAATAAAACAAGCATTTAGCAGAATTTGAAGTCATAACCATGACATCTCATTTGATGACAAAGTCACAGGCGATAAATGTTGCTGCCAACGAAAAAAACTTTTTTTCTTAGTCTGGCCAAGGGTTCGGAGGTTTTTTATTCAATATGAGTTTTATAAAATGCATTATTAATTAACTGTGCAATATTGGGCGCATTTAGCACTTGCAATTCAGAGCTGAGCTGATGCATTTTCACTATGACATTGTGGATAGAAAACTCAGCCTTTATGAAACAAATGATACCCATAACAAGAAAAGTCGGCCGTTATTCAGACATTCTGACTGACTGTTTGACATGGTCATTATGGAGCTCAAGCTAAACATTGAAAAATCCAATGCCATTTCGTTATTTATAATAATTAAAGGTTTTCATTATTGTACTCTTGTTTAGCTTGAATCATTTAGCTTTATAACAATGTCATTATGAAAACAAACTCCAATTATAGTAAAATAGCTTTTCCCTAATGTTGTTACGTATGGGTCAATAAATAAAATGTGTAAGTCGCTGGATAGGGCATTTTAACTGGGGTCAAAATATAACCTTCTAGATGCTCATGCAGTTCAGCTGTTAGATATGTAGATGTGCATTTAGGTGATGCATTAGTCTCAAGACGAAACCTCATTTACTGACATCTGACTTGGAAACCAGTGCATGCATGGGAGGATAGGGTTGTTTGACAGTAATAAGAACTCCTTTAGTGAAGCAAAATTAAATCTAAGCTGTTGTATAAGTGTTATTGGTTTTAAATTTCTAATGACAATATTAATTATCCTACTTAATATTTCCTGAATTTCAATATCGCAATAATTGATTTGCATTGGGCAGCTCTGAGGAGTAAGAGTAAACTATTTAGAAATTTCTCAGGTGGTTAGTCAAGTTTAAAAACATTGTTGAAAGAAATTCTGGCATATAGTGCTATGCAAATGTAAGTAGGAATCTGAGTAGCCACTCTATATGCTTGCATAGAGTGCCAGATAAAATACATGAAATCTCTATATACGTAGCAGATAGGGCAGGGAAGAGTGTAGTTTTCGCTGCGTAAACCCTAAATATAGTGATGGTTTAAAGGAAAAGGGACTTTCTAGAAATTTTATCTCTTACACTCACTTATCTCTTACTTAGTCTCTGATGTTTAAATGCCTTAAAATATTCAGAACTATCTTTAATATTACTTCTATATTTCTATTATATTGGCCTATAGAAAAATGTCCGCCATCTTGGATTTTTCGGCCATATTGGATTGTTTTGTTTTTTTTAATTCTGTTTTGGTGTCTAATTTGTTTTAACTTTAACTTGCTTTGTGACAAATTTCAGGTTTTTCCTATCTTTAAAAGTTTTATTTGATATATCATCCATTTATGATAAAGAATTTGGCGGTTCCTATATTGGCCTTAAGAAAATGTCCGCCATCTTTAATTTTTTTCGGCCATATTGGATTGGCTTTTTTAAAGTCTGTTTTTGGTGTCTAATTTGTTTTTACCTAAACATGCTTTGTGACAAATTTCAGGCTTTTCCTTTCATTAAAGTTTTATTTGATATATCATCCATTTATGATAAAGAAATTTAGTGGCCATTTTAGTGATCATTTTAAATGGCCATTTCAATGGTCAAGATCAAGTTTTTCAGTTTGGTATCCACCTTTATCGGATTCTGCATACCTTAAATAGGTAAAATACACCAAGATACCACTTGTACTACAAAATGCCTCTAGCATCTTATAGAGAGCCAAATTCTCAAAATCAGTCCTGTCTACAAGGTTTTTTTTAACCTGTACATGTAAATAGTATTTAAGGTTTTTAGTCTCTAATAATTTTTATTGATTAGCAGTTTACATTGATAACTATATTTTACATGTATTTTAATTAACTATGTACATTGATGAGATCCTAATAAGTTCGTGCTTTGGTTGTGTAAAAGCAAGGACATTAAGTAAAACAAAATACAATGTATGTAAAAAGATCTACATTTTAAGTGTTTCAATCAGATAATGACACGTGGTTGAAACATATTGCAAATAAAGGATAATTACTGTTTAGAGAGAAAATATTGGAAATAATTACTTTAACAAGTTATTTAAATGAATAAAAAGATTAATAGAATACTCTGTTGATTAGATTGAGTACCTTTATCGAACTTTGTCCCGATCATTTTACTCATACTTACACCACAGAATATCTTGAACGTACAAGTTAATTAATAATGGCGGTGTTTCATTATTGTGTCGCAGTTCTTGCCTTCATAGTTAATTTACCAAGCGTAGTTTTAACAGAGGAACAGAAATGTTACACTAAATTTGAATATGAATACAATGTTATAGAACAATTGATTATTCTTAAACAAAAACTGGAGAGGCAAGAACGTGTCAGTGTGGACCTACAACAGGAGCTATATGGTAAGATATGTTCGTATTTGTTACAAATTGGGTGACATGCAACTTTCAGTTTTAAATTATTGAATTGATATATGAATTATTAAATTGTGTAATTTGTTGACAGTGCTGAATCATGCAAAATAAAACAAAACCGATTTTTTTTCTCCAAAGTGTTTATAAAATAACGTATCATAAAATATTTTACTTACGTCAAGCAAAAGTTGGTCATCATATCTATGCATAAATGAATCATGTCCAAATGCACTTATATTCAAATTTTTTAAGTTACATATGCTCTGGAATTCACAATTTTAAGACTTATTTTTTTATTTATCTTTTTTGTAAGGTGCTCGTAAATCTATAGATGAGCTACGAAATCAAATGAGTCTTCCAGCCGGGTCAACTTATATCCGTTGGGGAAGAAAAACGTGCCCTGAAAATGCTGTTTTGGTATACGAAGGCAGTGCTGCTGGTGGTAATCAATTACACGAAGGGGCAGCTGCCAATACACTTTGTCTTTCTAACAAACCTGAATGGGATGAATACATTGACGGATTTGGAGGTGGTACGAGGATTTACGGTGCAGAATACTGGGCCCAAAACACCCTTCCTAAATTCAATGCCCTTCATAATCATGATGTTCCCTGCGCAGTATGTCGCATTCTGCATGGTAACGTAATGATGGTACCTGGACAGAACAGTTGCCACGGAGATTACACTTTACAGTATTCAGGTTACCTCATGGCTGGTGTTTACGGCACACCTGGGGCATCAGAGTATATCTGTATGGACCGGGAACCAGAGAGAGGACATTCTGGAAGTGATGAGAAACCCGGAACGAAATTCTATTTGGCTCAAGGAGAATGCAGGGCCCTGAAGTGTCCACCTTATGTTGAAGGAAGGGAAATCACTTGTGCGGTGTGCTCCTATACTTCAAGGGCGAGTGTTGAACCTCTTTTATAATGTAATATTGTTTAACAGAGCTGCACAATATACATGCATAACATTTCACCCATGTGTTTTATTTTTTTATATTTTATTATTCCAAATACTATAATAATTGATGTTAAGATTGAAACAATTACAACCATTTCCGAGAAAAGTTAAAATGTTACTTATATATTCAGTGTGTGTTTTATTTAATCGAAATTTTCATAAGATCCACTTATCAAAACGCTAGCAAGGTACAATACTTTTACTACAAAAAGCTTTATGACAAATGTAGCATTTTATACGTGATGTTAGAGGCTCATTACTCCAATCTTTTAATTAAACGTAAGCAAAACCCTTTTTTATTTAACATAAATATGCAAAATCAAAAAAAAATATTTGCTTTGATAAGTAAATTGTTTTATTTGTTAGGACAGTATAAGCATAAATTTGTAACTGCCCTATATTTAGATAAATAAGTAAAAAAATAAGTTTAAAGCATAAAGTATGTTTTGTTTAACGATATTACATATAGCATTATATGTGTTTAAAACAAACAAAATATATTCGTAAATTATGCTGCATATTTGCGCAATACGGGTACAAATGTACGATACAAACCATAAAAAACTTTCTAAAAATAGACAGCATTATGGTGTTGTTTTTTTTCTCGACAAAAATAGATACCACATGAAGGTCTACATTTGATTTACAATTACATGTATACATTATTGTTCGGCAATATGCACCTAATAGATTTGAAAAGTTATAACATTTTATTGGTAACTGTCGGATTCCAGATTTAATTTATGATATAACGCTACACATGGTTTATTTATATCTTAAAGATTTTGGCATAACACTTATTTAACTAGCCTCTGTGAGTAAAGGAGTTAAAGCTACATGCCTCCAAATAAGCCAAAATGATTAAATAAAGTCGAACCTTAAAACAAGAAGGCCATGATGGCCCTAGATCGCTCACCTGACCAATCCAACACATCCGAACAATAACCTAGACAAGCATTCTGACCAAGTTTCATGACAGGTGAGTCAAAAATGTGACCACTAGAGTGTTAACAAGGATTATCCATATTTGAGCAGTGTGACCTAGTTTTTTACCCAGGTGACCCATATTCGATCTTGACCTAGAAATCATCAAAACAAACTTTCAGACCAATTTCCAGGATACTTGGATCAAAACAGTAGCCACTACAGTGTTAACAATATTTTTCTATTTTTAACTCCGGTGACCTAGTTTTTCATCCGATATGACCCATGTTCGAACTTATCTGAGCAATTACCTAGGCAAGCATCCTGACCAAGTTTGATGATAATTGAGTCAAAAATGTGACCACTAGAGTGTTAACAAGGGTTTTCCGTATTTGGGCGGTATGACCTAGTTTTTCATCTGAGATGACCCATGTTCAAAATTGACCTAGATTTCATCAAAACAAACTTTCAGACCAATTTACAGGATATTTGGATCAAAACAGTAGCCACTAGAGTGTTAACAAGATTTTTCTATTTTTAGCTCCTGTGACCTAGTTTTTCATCCGAGATGACCCATGTTCAAACTCATTTGAGCTATCACCTAGACAAGCATCTTGACCAAGTTTGATGATGATTGAGTCAAAAATGTGACCGCTAGAGTGTTTACAAGGTTTTTCTATTTTTAGCTCCTGTGACCTAGTTTTTCATCCGAGAAGACCCATGTTCAAATTCGTTCGAGCTATCACCTAGACAAGCATCCTGACCGAGTTTGATGATGATTGAGTCAAACATGTGACCGCTAGAGTGTTAACAAGGTTTTTCTATTTTTAGCTCCGGAGACCTAGTTTTTCATCCGGGATGACCCATGTTCGAACTCATCCAAGCTATCACCTAGACAAGCATCCTGACCAAGTTTGATGATGATTAAGGCAAAAATGTGACCGCTAGAGTGTTAACAAGGTTTTTCTATTTTTAGCTCCGGTGACCTAGTTTTTCATCCGGGATGACCCATGTTCGAACTCATTCAAGCTATCAACTAGATAAGCATCCTGACCAAGTTTGATGATGATTGAGTCAAACATGTGACCGCTAGAGTGTTAACAAGTTTTTTCAATTTTTAGCTCCGGTGACCTAATTTTTCATCCGAGATGACCCATGTTCGAACTCATCCAAGCTATCAACTAGATAAGCATCCTGACCAAGTTTGATGATGATTGAGTCAAAAATGTGACCGCTAGAGTGTTAACAAGGTTTTTCAATATTTAGCTCCGGTGACCTAATTTTTCATCCGAAACAAATTCATGAAAATTAGCATATATCTGGAGGCATGCTGCTTTAAGACTTTTAGTTCCAAACTGAAGTTTAATATTTTATTTTTCTCTCCCTTTCTCTTTCAAGTCAGACAAACAATGAAATGTATTATGCAATATAAATGAAATGAAAGTTTTACAAACTATCTGAAAATGTTTATGTGTAAATGTGTACATGTAGTATACAATAAATTGTCTATAATTATAGAATAAAAGAAAGCGACAAAAGTTTTTTTATATACAATACTTGAATAACGCGTAATTCCTACATTTTACTCACTTTGTTTAAGATTAATAAATGATGAAATAATTTATGTTTAATTGCATGTTTATAAATCTCTGATAAGATAAACAGCATTGCTAAGAAAAAAGAACTTTTAAATAATAACTGATGTTTATAAATCGTTGATAAAGATAAACAGCATATTTTTAAACAGTTTTACGTACATTGCCATACCAACAACAAATTCAATGTGAAGGTCAATCGCTAGTTTTTATGCTTACATGGAAAATTTGTGCCTCGAATTCCTACTTCAGTTGCATATTTTTAGTCTGTAAATCATAACTTAATCGTTGTGTTTTTAATAAATCAGTAATTTCTATTCCGACAAACGCTGATATTATATTATCGTCAGCACTCGTCACGTGATGTTGAATAATTTAAGGATACTTTCAACGAGATTCAAGTAATGGGCTGCATAACTGCACTTTTTCGATGATATTTAAATTTTCCAGCGGTACATTTATTTCACCGATACACCTGCCCTTTTTCCAAAACCATTTTGAATTCTTTTTTATAACACGTATCCTGAGACTTGACATATGAGCGTCTTCGACATTAATCTTTTTGAAGTACACATGTGTATTTAATTCGAATGAAGTATTTCCTGTGGTTGATTTTATCTGCTTCTTCTGACGATAAGCACCCGTGTGTAAATAAACTTTCACAATAATTTCATTGTCCTTTTTAAAGTTTCCGGCCATGTTGGAGATATTTCCAATCGTAATTTTCAACTGTCTTGATACGATTAAGTACTGTATCGAGCAAGTGATTGTTCCATTGTTTTCCTTGCCAGACGGTTCCGTCGTTGGTAAAGGCAAATTTGTTTTCATTTGTACAACATCTACCGGAATGTCTGAAGTCTGAGACTTGGGTAATATGCTCTCAAAAGTATCCTGATTCTGAATCTCCCTTTGGTAGTGCAATACGTTTCCGACCTCAAATTCTCTACAATCTTGTCCATTTGCATGAATAAATGTGTCATTTCCATCATTGTTTACGAAATCTTTAAAAACATCTTCAACTGAAGATGTACTGATCATTCTTCTACTATCACTTTCTGTTCCGTATTGAAGTGGACTTAAAAAATCACTTAGTGAATCTAGTTTCTTCTCACTTGCACTTCTGATCTCGTCGAATTTAACGGCGAGTCTAGAGCTTACATCTGAGAAAAATCCGTCAATTGATTCTATTCCATTTGCAATACTTAAACTTATCGCTTGTTTCTGAGCACCATAGTCACGTTTAATGAAATTATCTAAACTCCGGCATCTTGTTCTAAAATTTTCCAAAAGGTCCATCCTAGTGAATAGTTTGAAACTAAATAAATACAATTTCGTGCTCTTCGAAGTTTTATACGATCAAGAAGATAACGTGTAAATGAAAGATTCATACAGTGTTGACGAATATATCAAGTTCACAAGGTGATAATATATTAGTACACAAATACATTAGTTAAGATATGCTATAAGATAATAATTTCTCAAGAAAATCCTTTACAAGCCATAACAAGGAAGAATGGTCCAAGAGCTACAAATGTAAGAAAAATGGCTGCAAACAACAAAAAATTGAACGTCATACAACTGCTGATACCAGAAAATGGCAATATGCCTCAACAAAGGGTGCTTTACTTAAAAAGAATTGTTCAGCAGACAACGGTTTGCCGGTTTGCCTGATCGGGGTTCAAACTCACGCGGTCAGCGATGCTTACATTACTGATTCGAAGTGTTAACCACTGGAACAATAATCAAAATCAATTCACAGTTGAATGTTAAGATTTGACCACTTTGTAATAAAGTGATTTTATTCAAAATGACTGTACTGAAGGGTATTTAAGTCTGGGTTTTTACAGAACAGTATGGTAGTTACATTAGGATGCTTTATGATTAAATTAGTTAAGAAGAATTTCATGTTATGTAAAGATATCAATGGTATCAAATAAAAAAGAAAGAAAAAACATATAAAATCTAACACAGGTACAAATGTGTCCCTTAACTACCATTTACATAAGTTATTTAGATTGAAAATCGCTTTCTTCAGTATTACACATGATAAAGATCCTTAAAGTACATGTACTAAAAAGATGATGTTTATATAATTCTTAAGTGACTCATTCGCATACGAAATATCTTTTCCCAGAATATGACCTGACTTTTAAAGGTCTAAATATCAAATCTTTGTTTTGATAATCAATAAATGTACAATAACAGCTACCTTTTGTTAACACATTTCATAGATTGACTTTTATATAAGGGGCATATAATATGGAAGGGGATACCAGTAATTTTAATATACCTTGTGACATTACAACTTATCTTTCTATATGACAAACTAAAATTACTAATTGTTGTTCCCTTATATTATACAAATATTTACTAGTGAGCCATTGAAAATGATGTGATACTCACCGGTAAAATGCATATTGACCGAGGCGATAGCCTTGGTCAATATGACATTTTGTCGGTAAATATAACATATAATTATATAATCTATAAATAGCT